TTTAGGGTTTGCAAATATAGCGATCGAGTGAGGGCAAACGCATCTATGCCTCAGCTTCTTGGGCTTATGTGGGCCAGCTTCCTCACTGAAATACTCCGTGAGGTTCGCTTTTGGGCCCCTCAGCCTAGCAGTTGTCTAGGAGCCGCCGCGATTGCCTTGCTGATTCTGCTAAGCTGCTGTGTGGGATTCTGCTGTGGCGCTATCTGTGCGAGCTCAGCTCTTTCTGCTAGGCTTCGCCGGGCCCTGGGATTTCTATTCAGGCTTACCAGCCAGCTGCTTGAGGACAGGCTCATTGGACCGGTCCAGTGGGCCTCGGCTCGAGAGGCGGGGCAGAGAAGACTTCGAGAGTATCGTGAATGAGTGGGGGAGGTGACCAACTAGACGAACTTACCTTACAGTTTGCTGGGCTCAACATTCGGATTGGGCGCGCGCGGGCTGCCTCACCTCACTCTTCTGCCGGCTCCTTTGAATTGGTGGATCTCCCTTCAAGCGCCCGGGCTTCAACCGGACCCCTTGAAGGCGCATCTGCGCCCGCACCTCGAGTCCTCGCCCCTTCGGAGGAGGAGTTGCTGGATTTGCTTGAGGCTGCAGATTACAACGGCATTGAGCTGGGCATTTACTCTGGGCTCGCTCGCTCTATTGGGCCAGCCGGTTCCTGGACTGCACAAGGCCGCGTGGCGCGGGCAATCCGAGCGGGCTACAGTGCTAAGCGCAAGCTTGCGGGGGACTCGCGTTATCAACTTACATCTCCTAGGGTGCCGCTATCCAACAGGTGGTACGTGGTCTTGCGGTGCAGTGCCTATCCGCAGGGCTTTGTGACTCAGAGCTTCAGCGTGTACCGGACGCACTGCTTCGACGCAGCTGCGCGAGCTCCCGAGCGGGGCTCTGTTAGCCACGCCTTCGCATCCCTCACAGAAGCCCAGGTCTTCTGCCAGGCCGCAGATCAGGCATGGCCTCGCGTCCTTTGACCGAGGCAGATGTGCAGCCGCTGGTGCCTTCCGAACCGGGGCGGCCCTTGGGTTTTCTTTACTTGGTGGATGCCGAGGAACACGCCACTTGGAGGACCACTGCCTTTGTACTTCGAGTTCGCCGCGGAGGCTTCCTTGTCGGGGTGCCCAACGAGGACCGGGTGCTCTCCGTTCTCACCGCTATGTCGGGCGACGAGACCGAGGAGGTCATTGTCTTCAAGCTCGCTGTGGTGGAGGCGGAGACCCCTCGAAGGCGAGCGGTGGGCGAGATCGAGATTCTCCTGGTCGATGTGCCGTGGTCCTACTTAGGTCTTTTCCGGAAGCCTGCACCGCGGGCCACCGGGCTGCCCGAACTGGTTCCTTTCAAGAAAGGCGATGTGGTGGTGCGGCCCATCCGCGAGAGCGCCATTGGAGCCGCCGAGGCCTGGATCAGCGAAGTGATCGACGACCCCGCGCTGATCGAGTACCAGACCGCGGAAAGCCAGCACGACGACGAGGCCGGCGAGGAGGACGAGGGCGAGGCCGGGGAACAGGAGGATGCATCAAGCGAGGTGATCCGCTTGAGGGCTCGGATTGCGGAGCTCCAAGCTCGTACCGTGCCTCCTGCGACCCAGCCGCGGCCGGGGGCCAACCGAGGAGCTCGCACTCTGTTTCCGGATGCCAAGCAGGAGTCCCTTTCAGCAGAGCAGTGGAACCAACTTCGCGCAGCAGCGGGAGGACCACCGGGCAGAATGGCCAGGCACGAGCGCAAGCCGAGGGATCCCAAAACCGTGGTCGCCGACGACGAGCTGGCCGAAGAGGAGTGCGGAGCAAGGCCGGAGGATACATCGGGCGAGGGCTCTCTGTTGCAGCAGCTGCTAATCACTCAGACCAAGTTGCTGGAACGCTTGACAGCGGGCCGGCCTTCGGATCCGATTTCGGCCGCCCTCTCAGGAGCCTCCGGGTCTTCAGACAGCAGCATGGGGTCGGCGAAGGGCATCACAGCTCGCGAGGCCTATGTGAAGTTGATCGAGCAGCAACCCTCTCAGGTGGCGACGGCCATCAGGACCGCAGCTGCCCACGAGCTGGGTCACGACCCGGCAAATCCCCCATCGTCTCTGATGAGAACTTACGTGGAGCGCAAGATGATCATCGGAGAGCACAGGCAGCTGGCTTTGATCGCGCACTTCTTCGGCCATTGCTGGGAGGCCGCTCGGGAGGATCACAACGAGCAGATGGAGTTCTGGATGGCGCGAGGACTGCTGATGCTGGATCAATTCGGAGTGGATCAAGGAAGGACAACGATGGGGTGGTTGTTTGCCGCCCTGCCGGACCCTTTATGGTCCCAGCTCCAGAGGAAACGATCCGGCTTAAAGCCGTACGCACGGTTGGCTGCCGGCCCGTGGGTGGCAGCAAATTGTGCGTTTCTGCGCGATTTGGATTATTTGGACAGTCGGCTCAAATCTGCAGCCGCACCGACGGGACAGCCCACCACCGACCCTCCGGCCGACGGCGACGACGACGACGACAGCAAGGCTCGCCGCCTGAGACGCCCGAAGAGAAAGCCGGGCAAACCAGGGGACACGACAGCCTGAAGCATGCATGCCCAGGGTCTGGAGCGAAGCTCGACTCTAGTTGCGCTTTTGGCGCACCGAATTTACATTCTTTTGCAGATCGGCCTTTTTCGGTCCGTGCCGATCCCCAGGCCTGTCTTGAAACACGAAGGGCGCTGCCTCCTGATGCGAGCCATGCTTCCCCTCACAGCCTTCCTCAAGATACCTCGTCGGGTTTAGGTTTACCTGATTGCCCTACGGAGTTTGGTGCCTGGTTACTTAGTTTTTTAGGGGTGTCGGTTTCAGCCCGAAACGGCCTAAATAGGTTCATCCGGTTGAGCTTGACACCCTTAGCCTGCGCCGCACAGCCCACTTCGAGTCGAGGCGACCTGTTTCCCTGTCCCCCTCCAGCTCGCTGGAGAAGATGGACGGGATCTATGAATCGCTCCCCCCGCGCCCGGCTCCGACACCGCCAACTTGAAGTTGCTAACGCACTCCTTAGGTATGCGATTGCTACCTTGAATTGGCTAGCCCTAGGACAGCCTCTCAAGTGTCCCCCGGAGGCGCGTGTCGGAGCCCCTTGCTCCCTGGAGCAAGCGCGCATGCTTGATGACCTGGAAGCGTTGACGCTGCACTTCGTGCGGGCCAGCCCTTTTGACAGGAGTCAGCTTGGTCGTAGCGATTCTAAATTCAGTTCCTTAATTAGTTTGGCTAGGGGTCTTCCTTCGCAGTTTGTTCGCACTTCTGATGATGAACTTCACGCTTTGGTTCGCGACCTTGCTGCTTCAATGGCTCCCTATAGCCGCACCGCTGAGAAACATCGTCAGGACCTTCCGGAACCCAGCGTAACGTGTGGAACACCAGTGCTGGAGAAAACACCTTTGAGCGATCCTCAGAGTTTTGATCCATTGCAAGCTGAACGCGTATCCGATAGCACCCGAAGTGCTGTCGCAGACAGGGATGACGATTCGCTTCCACGGGCTTCCCTTCCTTCAGGGTTAAGTTGTAAGCCTTTGGTTGCCGATAGAATCAAATGGTCTTTGGGTCCTTCGTTCGATCCAACTCCGTATTTAACAGATCCCATTGTGAAAGCTGTCTTTCACAACCCGGATGCACTGCGGACTGATCCTTCAGAGTGGCCCTCCCTTCCTGTTGCGAAGGTGCACGGAGAACGCAAAGAACTTCTCGCTTTGGCCCAGAAATGGGACTCTGTCAAGGCACTTCGATTGATTCCTGCTTCGGAGGTTGATGCTAGTGAGGCGGTCGGTGCTTTTTGTGTTCCCAAAAATGCCACCCACGATCGTCTTATACTTAATCCAACCGTGGTTAATTCTAGGTCCCGAAAGTACAGTAACTACACCCGACTTCTTACCCCAGGGGCCTTCGCCTGCAGCGCGCATCTTGAAGCTGACCAGTACTTTCGTATTTGCGCTGATGACCTTTCAGAAATGTACTACACATTTCGTGTGCCGTATGCTCGAGCCTGTAGAAACTGTTTGCGAACTGTCTTCCAACCCCATGAAGTAGAGCATTTTAGCGTATTCGATTCAAGGGTTCACAACACCCCGGTTCACCTCGCTTTAAGTAGCCTCGCTATGGGGGATTGCGTGGCAGTCGAGATAGCTCAACAGTCCCACTTTAATGTTCTTGCCCAACTTGCACATTCAGTAAGGCCATCCGAGTTTGCTTGTTATAGGCGAGCTTTTCCACGGAGCAACACAATCGAAATGCTTGCGATAGACGATCATATTACTTTGCAGAAGGTTTCATTCAAAGAACTCAAACAACAGAAGCCCGCACGTGATACAGAGATTTTTGCCGCCGCCGAGCGTGCTTATCGCGATGTGCAGCTTGTGCAACATCCTGACAAGAGGAGACGCTACGAGGAGGTTGGAATCTTTTTGGGTGCCGAGCTGGACGGAGTGATGGGACTCATTTCAGCGCCTCGTCATCGACTCGGTGCTTTGATGCTTCTGACTAGCATCTTATGCATCAAAGGCACCGCCTCCCCTGCAATGCTTGCCTCCCTCTTGGGTCTTTGGGTGCACGCGCTGCTGTTCAGACGCCCGGCTCTGGCTTTGCTGAGTCACTGTTTTGAGGATGCCAGGCGCACTCCTGGTGATCGTGTGCGCGCGCTTTCGCGCCAGACCATATGCGAGCTACAATCCTTGATCTGGCTCACGCCTTTGTTTGTTTCAAACCTTAGGACCAGCTACATCGAGACGTTGTTTTGTACGGATGCTTCGCCTTTTGCCGCGGGCATTTGCGGGGCTACTTTACCAGCTTGTGCAGTCAAGGAGCTTTGGCGCCACACCGAGCAAAGAGGATTCTACACTAAGTTGGAGGAGCCCGCTGCGGCCACTCTGCGCGAACTTGGCTTGGAGTCCATTCCAGCCTTCGGTCCGTCTGGCCCTTGTAGCCTTGATTCAGCTTTGCCGCTCCCACGCCCTTTGCGCGAAGGCTTCGTCTATGATTGCATTTCTCTCTTTGATCCGACGGGCGCTTGGGCCACTTGCCACCAGCAGGCGGGACTTAGCGTGCATCCTGAGTTGCGGGGCCCTTCCGGGATGTTGCGGTTCGAAGATTTAGCTGACAACGGGGTTTTCCGGGCAGTTGCCGCGCTGGCCTCTCGGCGTGTTGTGCGTGATTGGCACTTTGCGCCTCCCGCGCTGAGTTTTGTGGCGTTGCGCAGGCCTAGGCTTCGGTCCAAGCGGCATCCTGCAGGGTATTTCCCTGATAGTCCTGGGGTTTCTTTGCACAACAAGCTTGCCATCAGGCTGTCTTTCCTTGTGGGGCTTGTCATGTCCTGCGGGGGCTTTGTGTCTGTTCTTCAGCCGGATTCCAGCTTGATGTTTTACCTTCACTGCTTCCGAGTGATGATCGGGGTGGGTGCGATCCTCAGCCGCGTCACCTGTTGCAACTTCGGTTCCGGGTTCAAACGGCCCCTGCTTTGGTTGCACAACAAGGCCTGGTTGGCTGAGTGTTCCGGCGCGTGCAGTTGCCCCTACCGCGCTTCTCACTTCCGGATTGAGGGGACTTTCAGCATGGCTTCGGCTGCGGAGTTTGACCGCCGCTGCAGGCCTCACAGTGCGGGAGTTTTCGGTTCGGCCCCCCAGGTGGGCCAGAGCTGTGCTGACTTCAGCAGGCACCTGCCCTTGCCTCTTCTGAGACGCGTTGCGTCGGGTGCCTCCCAAGCCGTGCAGGGTGCGTGCAACGCACTACCACTGTCCAAGCGGTTTGAGAGTCTAGGTGTTCTGTTGGGTGTAAGTGGTTTTAGTCCTGATGACCCCCCTAATGCTCCGCCCCTTCGATCCTTCCATGACGACCCGGAGTGGATTGGTGAATTAGCTGACTGTCTTGACTTCAAGGAGTTGATCCGTTACCGTTTTGCCAAAGGTGGGCACATCAACATTCTCGAGGTAAGATCTTATAAGACTCTTCTGAAGTGGTGTGCCAAACGTCACCGGAAATCGCGGTTTGTGGGTTTGTTTGACAGTCGGGTTTTGTTAGGGGCTTCAGCAAAGGGTCGTTCCAGTAGCCCGGCTATCACTCGGATCCTTCGGAGCTCCTTGCCATACGTCTTGGGAGGGCAGCTGTATCCAGGCGGGCTCCACGTGTACTCGGCGCAGAACCGCAGCGATGGTCCGTCGAGATGGCGCGCAGTGCCGAAGGCGACTAAGAAGTGGCCCTTGTGGTTGACCGCACTGTGTCAAGGCGACACCCATCTCTTTGATATAGTGTGCGCAGCATCCCGCTTCCCTAAGAATGCGGCCAGATGGCTCAGGCTGCTGCTGCTATTGGGTGGAGATATTGAACGGAACCCGGGGCCTAAGCCCCGGAGACCTCGTGGACCTCTCGACTTGAGGTCCGGCTTCGCTTTGTCCACTCAAAACAAGATGCAGAAAGCTATGGCCGGGTTCGAAGCTTGGATCCATGAACACCTGCTGCTCACGCTCGTGCAGGTTTTGTGTACCGCCGAGTCAGCTGCACTGGCTCTTCGAGGCTACGGGCTTTTCTTGTACGAGCAGGGTTTTCCTAGGTACCTTCTTGTGTATGCCATCACTGCGGTGCAAGACTTGCACCCAGCGTACAGGTCGCAGCTGACACCTGCGTGGCAGGTCGACAAGAAGTGGCAAGCCATGGAACCCGGCGAGTGCAGGCCGGTGATATCACAACCGATTCTTCGTGCAGCAGTTTCAGTTGCGCTTTTGTGGGGCTGGAATGACTGGGCGGCTGTGACAATCATCGGCTTTCTTTGCATGTTGCATCCGGCAGAGCTTGTAATCCTCACACGCCGTGATTTGGTGCTCCCCCGCGACGCTTTATCTACAGATCGGATTGCTTACGTTCACATCCGCAACCCTAAGACCGCGCGCTTTGCGCGTCGTCAACACTGTCGCTTAGAAGACGAGGTTGCTTTAACTTTTCTTGAAAGCCTCTATCTTCAGCGACCGTTGGCTGAGCGATTGTTTCGTGGCTCTCCGCATGTTTACAGGTCGCAGTGGAACGCGATTATGGCTCGCCTCCAAGTACCGCATTCGTTGCGGGAGAAAGGCGCGACGCCTGGAGTGCTGCGCGGGAGCGGCGCTACCTTCCTTTACTTGGAGACGGAGGACCTTGCTTTAGTGGCCTGGAGGGGCCGGTGGGCGAAAGTTAAAACACTGGAGTTTTACCTCCAAGAAGTTGCGGCGCAGCTCATGCTCCAACGCTTGTCAGAGCGCGCTCGCAATCGCATCGATCTTTTGCAATCTGCTACGCGCCAACTTCTTCTTTTTGTGGCATCCGAGACGGTGCGCTCAGCTGCCAAGCAGGTTAAGGGTGGTTTAGATGGTTGCTAGGTAGGCCTCCTCTTTCGGGTACCCTAGTGCCGTGCTACCCAGCACTCCCGTGCTCCTGCTGCCGCAGGCCCGTTCGCAGCTAGCCGAAACGGCTTTGCTGCTTCCGACCGAGACTTCAGAGATGCAGGCGAAAACGAAGGAGGCGCGCTATGCAAATATAGCGATCGAGTGAGGGCAAACGCATCTATGCCTCAGCTTCTTGGG